GTTTATCTGGATGTAACTCCGTCACAAACTGAGGACCCCCTGGACGTACTAAGAGGAGACAAAGGGTCTGCCCTCCTTAGTCTCGTTTGCTGGCTCCTCCTCCACCTCAGTGGTGCTGTTTGATGAGATGGTCCGGGGCCTTCTTCTCCTCTCTCTCCCTAGGCAATCTCCTGCATTTCCAAGGCCCTCCTTACAAACTATATGCCCAAACCCCTACATTTCTATACCTAGCGTAGGCTTACTTTCTTCCCAGGTCCAGACCAATGTACCCAACTGTTTTTATTACTGTTATTGAGATGGAGTCTTACACTGTTGCCCAGGCTGGAGTGCAGTGGCCCAATCTTGGCCTACCGCAACCTCTGCCTCCTGGGTTCAAGCGATTCTCCTGCCTCAGCCTCCTAACTGGGATTACAGGCATAGTCCACCACGCCCGGCTAACTCTTTGTATTTTTAGTAGAGATGGGGTTTCATCATGTTTTTCAGGCTGGTCTCGAATTCCTGACATCATCCACCCGCCTCGGCCTCCCAAAGTGCTGGGATTACAGGTGTGAGCCACCGCGTCCAGCTGGGACAGATTTTAAAGTTGACTCTCCTTGTCCGCAGGTTCACATTGTAAAATGTTCTCCCAAGGACTTCTCTTCCACCCCCACCCCAGGCCCATCTGGTTGCCATTCCCTCAATAAGGGCAGTGCCCCACCGGATCACTTTGAGTTCTGCCTCTTCTTGCCTCGAAGACCGGATTCCTCGCTGCCTCATATACTGCTTTTTTGGGAAGGATTATTTTTTAAACAATCCCAGGCTAATATTCTTGTCACATCTGCACTCCGGTTTTTATGCATCTTTAGAGGAAACACAGTTACTTCCCTGGCACAAAGCGTCTATTGCTTGCTCAGGTGTGAGTCTATAAACTCTTTAAGCTCCTACAGTGGTCTTAAGGAGCACCTCTCACTAGGCTTCAAATTAGTGGGCAAGCACCTCCCTCTACCCCTTCCTCCTGATAGTGGACAATGGGGAAGTGGGAATCAAGAAACATAGCTTTTTAGCTCAATGTGCCATGGCACCAAAAAGGTAAGGAAAGAGATTGTTATTATATAGATGCAGGCATCTTCTGAGATTCTGTTGTGGCCTGGGAGGAGAGGGAAGACAGTGATCCAGGTGTGATAGCCTGCTGGGTTCTTCCTGCCTGCAGCACAGACATAGTCAATTCACTGAGAGCGAGATTCTGCAGGAAAACAAGAGTTTAATTGATGCGAGGTCAGCCCTACCACAGATGAGGCTATTCCTCAGACCAGTCTCCCTGAAGGCTCAGAGGCTAGGATTTTTATGGCCAGTGTGGTGGTCAGGGGGCTGGGAAACAGGTGTTGCTGACTGGTTGGGGATGAAATCATAGGGGTGGAAAACATTCCTCATGCACTGAGTTCTCCACTGGGTGGGACCACAGGACAGGCTGAGTCGTGAGTCACGACTTTGGTTAGGGTCAGTCTGAGAAACTTCTCAAAGGACCAACCTTAGCTTCTACAATGGTGATGTTATCTACAGGAGCAATTGAGAAGGCACAGATCTTGTGACCTCTGGTCACATGACTCCTGAACAGTAAGGGATTATAGAAACTATGCCCACATTTTAACAGAACTCAGGCTCCTTCCATAATCCTAATTTGGGGCCTTTTATTAGTCTTCTGAAGGTGGTTTCAGCCCCCAAACAAGCAGGAAGGGGATAGTTTTAGGGTGGGACTGTTATCCTTGCTTCAGAGTTAAACTATATACCAAATCCCTCCACGGTTAGTTTGGCCTGCACCTAACAATGACCAAGGGCAGCTTGGAGGTCAGAAGCAAAATGGAGTCAGCTACGTCAGATATCTCTTCCTGTCGTAATCCTTGCAAAGGTGATTTCACAGGTCCCTTTCCCTGCTACTCGATTAAAGCTGTTCCTCTGAAGATCACCAATAGTTCCACAGTGCCATGTCCAATACAGACAATTCTCATTTCTCATCTTACCCAGCAGTAAAATTTGACGTGGAATGAGGAGCACAGACACACAAGATTTATATTTTATATTTAATAAAATGTAAGATAGCATCGATTTTAAGGTACCATTATTTTATGTACCACCAAGCAAGAAAAAAACACTGATAAACTATGCTTTCTAAATATGTAGATTGAAAGACATACCTCTATTCCAGTCTTTAAAATATATTTAAAAAGTTAGTCTTAGGTTAAATACAGTATGTTTGCATATTCTTAAAATATAAGTTAATAAATTTGTTGTCCCTTCCACGGTAGTAATACAAGGCAGACACAAGTTCCATAGAGTTTCTTTCAGTGTCTGTGTGTGGACATGAAGCTAAGGAGACACAGATAGAAACATTTCTTCTGCAGGGAACTGGAACTGTGGATGGAGTAGGAAGGCAGTGCACAAAGAGAAGGCTTCACACGAGAGAGGATGTTTGACCTGAGCATTGGAGGCAAAGGAAGACTTTAATTGTTGCTTCCAGGGGCCTGAAGTCTGGAAAATCCCTGGGTATAGAGAACATGGCTGGTAGATTTTTCATTTTACTAAAGCTTTAATGATTAGATAAATATTTCAAACATATTACATGCCTTCAGAGACATTTCTTTTAGAAAATATGTGATAACTCTCCCTTTTAAAACCAAAAAATTGCACCCAGCACAATGAGACAGCTCTAAGATAACTTTTGCAAAGTCTAAGGAAAATTCTGGAACCTGTCCAGACATATGGTCTTCCAATTCGTGGCAAGGATTTGTCTGAGAAGGGTGGAAGCCACTGGGGGACTTTGAGCAGAAAGGTAATGAGCAAAGGTATGTTTATGTTTAAATGGGTCACACTGGCTGTGTGGGAAAGAGACTATAGAGACAGCCGTGGAAGCAGAGAGATGGTGGTGATGGTTTGGGCTAAGTTGGGGGTGGTGGAAAGCGGAAGAGGGGTTGGGCTTGGTACCATATATTGAAGTCTGAGTTGACAACATTTGCAGATGGGATATAAGAGGAAGAGAGGCATAGATGTTGGCTCCAAAATGTGTAGCCCGAACAGCAGAGCAGTGGTGGTGCTATTTACTGACAGGGAACTTTGGAAAGGAGCAGTTTTTAATTGAAAACAGACTATGGCATGACACTTGGTTTTAGATATTAAATCTGAGAGACTTTTCTAGACAGATACCTGAGTATAGATGTCAAGTAAGCATTCTGGAATTCACGGAAGGGGTTGGAGGTACGTATTTACATTTGAGACTGCATAGAATATTTAAAGCCACGAGATTGGATAAGATCTCCCAAGAAGGCTGGGCATGGTGGCTTACACCTATAATCCTAGCACTTTGGGAGGCCAAGGTGGGTGGATCACCTGAGCTCAGGAGTTCAAGACCAGCCTGAACAACATGTCGAAACCCCATCTCTACTAAAAATACAAAAATTAGTGGAGTGTGGTGTCAGGTGCCTGTAATCCCAGCTATTCAGGAGGCTGAGGCAGGAGAATTGCTTGACCCCAGGGGGCAGAGTTGCAGTGAGCCAAGATCTTTATAGCAAAAGTTAAATACATGACTTTTACTTAACATTAATAAAAGTCGATTATTTTTGCCACTGTTGGGGCTCAAACAATAATACCCCAAAATATGGTGTTTTGGTGTTTGTTTGTTGGCTTGTTTGAAGACTGAGTCTCTGTCATCCAGGCTGGAGTATACTGGCACAATCTGGGCTCCCTGCAACCTCCACCTCCCGGGTTCCAGCAGTTCTTCTGCCTCAGCCTCCCAAGTAGCTGGCTAATTTTTGTATTTTTAGTAGAGACAGGTTTCACCATGTTGGCCAGGCTGGTCCTAAAATCCTAATCTCAAGTGATGCACCCGCCTTGGCCTCCCAATGTGCTGGGATTACAATCATGAGCCACCACGCCTAGCAGCATGCTGAGTCTTTGAATTTAAGGAAACTAAAAGGGTCTCAGAAATAAGCCTAAAAATCAAGGTCTCTCTCTCTCTCACCTTCCCCCTTCCTTTTGTCTCTCGAATACTCTTATTTTTCCAAGCACCTGGAGGGGCTCTCTTTTCCCAGCCCCACTCCCCTAACAGCTAGATAAAGAATTTCCTTATCTGACAGAGGAAACTTCTTTTCCAAAGAAATGCAATTGTCTTAAAACCCCCTCTCTAGGAATCGCTTTAAATAATGAGAAGAGATTACCCACCCAGAGAAGAGAAAAAACTGAAAGTCATCACCACACTGATTTTTCATAGATACTTCTGAGGGTAGCTCCGAGAGACTACCTGGAAACTTTGCCTGTATAATAGGACAATTTTTGTTCAGAGTGAAGTTTCACAGCTTGTCCACACACTATTGTGTTTGCTTCTGTCCCACTGACTGTCCAAGGAGAATCATTTGCAAACCACTGGTTTTCGGGCCCATTCATACCCGTCTCCTCTACTGAACCAAGAAGGGTATACAAGCATCTGGACCTTACTGAGTTGTTGGGTAATCGTCTGGACCTTATTCAGTTATTGGGTAATCATTTTTCTGAGATTTTTCCCTGTGCACATGAAGTAAACTTCGTATGCTTCTTCCTTCTACCAATCTGTCTACTCTTAGTTCATTCTAGAAACCTTCAGAGGACGAAAGTGGGTGCCTACACCGCGTTAAATTTAAATATAAATTAAATTATTTGGGAATAATTATTTGGGAATTAATTTAAATATAAAAATTATTTGGGAATGCGTAAGCTGCTCATTTCCAAACTGCAATTTTCATAGGTATGAAAATTCTCCACAAACTGCGAAGCCATGGCACTCCAAGGGCCCAAGAACCTAGGTTGGACCGCTCACTTAGCGCGGGTAAACGTGTTCCACCCATCTCCCAGCCCGCCCGCCCCCTCACTTAGGTACAGGTAAGGTACAGGTACAGGTAGGAAGGCCAACGCCCACTGGCCACGGACTTAAGAGGCACGCCCACAGGCGCCTTCCGAGCATGCGTGGGGCAGCAGCACGCAGGCGCCGCACGCCCCGCGCATGCGTGGTGCAAAGCGTCTTCAGGTCGGGCGGCAGATCCGGGCGAGTGCTGCGGTCACGGCAGCCACCGGCAGCCACCGTCCGGCATGAAGGTCTGGGATCTGGCTGCTGCCTGCACCTCGCTCCGGCACCATGGAATGCCTGCGGACTTTGCCCTGCCTCCTGCCTCGCGCGGTGGGACTTCCCCGGCGGAAGCTGCGTGCCCTGGCCTTGGACTTGACCTCCGTGGCTCGTCCCGTTGCTGCGTGCTGCCGCGCCGCCGACCTGGTTGGAAAGAGCCGGGCGGCGCAGCTCTGCGGGCCCGGCAGGCTCCGTGTGGCAGGTACTTGCCCCTCGGCGCCCACAGCCTTGGGACGCTGGTTTTGCCCCAACTGTCCTGCGCGGCGCGGCTGTTGCTCCGCGTTGTCGTGTGAGCTTGCGCAGGCCCGCGGGCCCAGCTGCGTCCAACCAGCCCAGAATGCGACCTTGCTCTGTGCGCTGCGCCCTGCCGGGATCTGAGCGGCCAGCTCTCCGCTTCTCCCCCACACCACAGCCCTTGCGGCAGACTTTGTAACCATGGGAACAACCCGGGAATCGTTTACAAGCGGTGCTCACGTTAGTTAACACCCCGCTTAAGTGCTCTTGTGAGAGGTTTTTTGTTGTGTTTTTGAGACAGGGTCTCACTGTGTTGCCCAGGCTGGATTCAGACTCCTGCTCTCAAGCCATTTTTCTGCATTAGCCTCCCAAAGCGCGGGGATTACAGGCGTGAGCCACGACACCTGGCTGAGAGGTGTTTTTAAACAAGGATTTCATCTTACTGTTCCGAAGTCATAAGTATTCATTTCTCTTCCCTGTCTTCTGTTTCGTCCTTACGGACACATTTATACAGTTAATTCAGTTGCAGAGATTGAGGGCGCACCTAGAAGTGAGACTGAAGACTGAGTTGCTTCTGAGAACGACTTGGCTTTATTTTCCAATACAGTGCTGTATAAATAAACAGCCAGGGAGGTCAGATTGAGGAAAAAAGGAAATTTAGTTGCTGTTTATTTTTTCACCAAATGTTGAAGCATGGTGAAAAGTTAAGATTTTCACAAATGTTTGAGTGCAAATATTTGAGGAATAAAAGGTGTGGAAATGAGTGGCTTGATCAAGAATATAGCAGTGGTCTCAAATTATGTTTTCTCAAGTGTGCTCTCAAAAGCCTCCCGCAGTAACTCCTCACCACCTCCTTACCCACTTTACTAGAGTCTTTCCAAATTGGGTTACATGCCCTGCACCCTCCATTGATAATGCTTGGGAATCCAGTTTCAGCTAGTTGGAGGAATCTTTTAGGACGAGCCTTGACGTTCAGAGTCTCAATCCTGGTAAAACCCTGTCTAATTTGTGACATGGAAACATTAAAAGGCGTTTGTAATCAGCAAATGCCTTTACGTTTATTCATCTTACCCTTATAGTGATAGTTTGTATTTTGTAAAAGGGAAATGAAACTTCAGATATTAACAAATTACAAGAATTGCTACATGTATATAGTGGAAAAAGATTTGAAATAAGGATGTTTTTCTACAGTCTCTGGAGTCACGGTCATTACTTTGGAAGCATAAAACAGCGTCCTCTGTCAGCCATTAGATGTACTTGATGATACTTCAGAGCTCACTTCGACTTAGTCTAATCACGTTTTAAGTAGACTAATTTGCAAATAAAGATTTGTCCTCATTCCAGCTCAGTGGGGTATTTCATAAGTATTGACTATAAAGAATATCTGTGGAGAAGAAGGAAGATCCATAGGTTTCATAATTTATAAGCCAGTCAAATAATTTTGATACTGGAATGCTTGAAAGAGGTGGTACTTAGGACCTGTGTTTTCTAAAATGTATCTGCTAACAAATGTGCATGAAGAGCCTTTTAAATTATGCAAAAAGGAGGACCAGACATTTTCTTAAATCTCAAAACACGATGTTGCACATTCCTTTATCCAACTCAGATATCAATAATGATAAGAAAGTTAAAAGGGTGATTGGAATCCATCAGTTATTTTAAAGCCTCTCCTAAGTCTTTACTTTTAAAAGTCACTCCCTGTCAAACCTAAGGTAATCACCAACAAATATGAAAATTAACAACAGTATTTCTTCTTTTCTTAATAGGAAAAAGATTTAAAAATAGTTTAACAGTCTGAAGGCCTCCACATAGTATGAGAGTTGTGTTTTAGCTCTGTGTGAAAACCAGTCAAGGTTTTCTTAATTTAACAAGGAATTCTCTTAATTTATTCTTCAGGTGAAGTGCACCGGTTTAGAACTTCTGATGCCTCTCAAGCCACTTTAGCCAGTGTAGCCCCAGTGTTCACTGTGGTGAGTATGTACAGTACCTTGGAAATCGTACAGAAAGTGCTTCCCATACTTATGAACTCCTTGGACTGTTGGCCAGTTTACTTATTGTGAGTTTTATAATGAATCATTATAGTTACCTGTCGTGGCTGTTATGCCTGGCCAGTGACCTGAGTGCCTACTAGATTTGCTTAATAACAATCTTGAACCTTGGCTAATGACTACAGCTCCCATTTTAATACTAGAACAGATCAGTCACAATTTAGAGCTGTAAAGAGGCTTGAATCTGTGGTTTGCAAGATAATATGCAGGCAGAAGCATCTTGAAGGCAGCAGAGTGTAGTCTTTAAAAGTGAATGCTTTGAAAGGTCATGAATCTGTAACCTTTCTCTGAAATGGTTTGGGCGGTGGCAGTAAGATAATATGTATCACACACAGGTATTTTTAATATGTATCACGACAGGTACTTTTAATATGTATCACACAGGTATTTTAATATGTATCACACACAGGTATTTTTAATATGTATCACACACAGGTATTTTTAATATGTATCACACAGGGACTTTTAATATGTATCACACACAGGTGCTTTTAATATGTATCACACAGGTATTTTAATATGTATCACACACAGGTATTTTAATATGTATCACACAGGTATTTTAATATGTATCACACAGGTATTTTAATATGTATCACACAGGGACTTTAATATGTATCACACACAGGGACTTTTAATATGTATCACACAGGTATTTTAATATGTATCACAGGTATTTTAATATGTATCACACAGGTATTTTAATATGTATCACAGGTATTTTAATATGTATCACACAGGTATTTTAATATGTATCACACACAGGTGCTTTTAATATGTATCACACAGGTATTTTAATATGTATCACACAGGTATTTTTAATATGTATAACACAGGTATTTTTAATATGTATCACACAGGGACTTAATATGTATCACACACAGGTATTTTAATATGTATCACACACAGGTATTTTAATATGTATCACACACAGGTATTTTAATATATATCACACAGGGACTTTAATATGTATCACACACAGGTGCTTTTAATATGTATCACACACAGGTGCTTTTAATATGTATCACACACAGGTATTTTAATATGTATCACACAGAGGTATTTTAATATGTATCACACACAGGTATTTTTAATATGTATCACACACAGGTATTTTAATATGTATCACACAGAGGTATTTTAATATGTATCTCACACAGGTATTTTTAATATGTATCACACAGAGGTATTTTTAATATGTATCACACAGAGGTATTTTTAATATGTATCACACACAGGTATTTTAATATGTATCACACACAGTATTTTAATATGTATCACACAGAGGTATTTTAATATGTATCACACACAGGTATTTTTATATGTAGCACACACAGGGACTTTTAATATGTATCACACACAGGTATTTTAATATGTATTACACAGGGACTTTTAATATGTATCACACACAGGTATTTTAATATGTATCACACACAGGTATTTTTAATATGTATCACACACAGGTATTTTAATATGTATCACACAGAGGTATTTTAATATGTATCTCACACAGGTATTTTTAATATGTATCACACAGAGGTATTTTTAATATGTATCACACAGAGGTATTTTAATATGTATCACACACAGGTATTTTTATATGTAGCACACACAGGGACTTTTAATATGTATCACACACAGGTATTTTAATATGTATTACACAGGGACTTTTAATATGTATCACACAGGTATTTTAATATATATCACACAGGGACTTTAATATGTATCACACACAGGTGCTTTTAATATGTATCACACACAGGTATTTTTAATATGTATCACACGGACTTTTAATATGTATCACATACAGGTGCTTTTAATATGTATCACACACAGGTATTTTTAATATGTATCACACACAGGTATTTTTAATATGTATCACACAGGTATTTTAATATGTATCACACACAGGGACTTTTAATATGTATCACACAGGTATTTTAATATGTATCACACACAGGGACTTTTAGTATGTATCACACACAGGTATTTTAATATGTATCACACACAGGGACTTTTAATATGTATCACACACAGGTATTTTAATATGCATCACACAGGGACTTTTAATATGTATCACACACAGGTATTTTAATATGTATCACACAGAGGTATTTTAATATGTATCACACAGAGGTATTTTAATATGTATCACACACAGGTATTTTAATATGTATCACACACAGGTATTTTTAATATGTATCACAGGTACTTTAATATGTATCACAGAGGTATTTTAATATGTATCACACACAGGTATTTTAATATGTATCACAGGTATTTTAATATGTATCACACACAGGTATTTTTAATATGTATCACAGGTACTTTAATATGTATCACAGAGGTATTTTAATATGTATCACACACAGGTATTTTAATATGTATCACACACAGGTGCTTTAATATGTATCACACACAGGGACTTTTATATGTATCACACACAGGTATTTTAATATGTATCACACACAGGGACTTTTAATATGTATCACACACAGGTATTTTAATATGTATCACACACAGGGACTTTTAATATGTATCACACACAGGTATTTTTATATGTATCACACACAGGTATTTTAATATGTATCACACACAGGTATTTTAATATGTATCACACACAGGGACTTTTAGAGAAAGAGAAGACTGTGGGGGCAAAATGTTCACAAAGTTGACTCTAGGTGAAGGCTCTATAGGAATTGGCTGTAATTTCCTTTATCCTTGCAACTTCTTTGTAGGCTTTTATTTAAAAAAAAAAAAAAGCTTGTTAAAAACGTGCAACTCTTCTGAGCCCGACTTCCTAAATTCCAGTCTCACTCTGCCTTGTATTACCTAGGTGGTCTTGGACAAGTTAGGAGAATATCTTTACACTTCAGTTTTCTCATCTGAAAACTGAGCATAACCTGCCTTATGGAGCTGATATGAGGATTAAATGAACTCATATGTATATAAAGCCCTTAAGTAGTACCTCACGGATACTAAGCCTGAAATATGTCATTATTAGGGTTATTTAGTGTTAAGAGCTTTTCTTTATAAACTGTACAGAACTAAATAACCCCAGAACTGCATTTAAAAGTTACCGCTGTTATTCATTGTTCTGGAAGAGTTTTCCAATGTAGTTAAGAATACAAAATCAGGGCCAGGCACAGTGGCTCACACCTGTAATCTCAGCACTTTGGGAGGCTGAGGCGGGCAGATCATTTGAGATCAGGAGTTTGAGACCAGCGTGGCGAACATGGTGAAACCCTGTCTCTACTAAAAATATTAAAAAATTAGCCAGGCGTGGTGGCTCATGCCTATAATCCCAGCACTTTGGGAGGCCGAGGTCAGTGGATCACAAGGTCAAACGATCGAGAGCATCCTGGCCAACATAGTGAAAACCTGTCTCTACTAAAAATACAAAAATTAGCTGGGCATGGTGGCGCGTGCCTGTAGTCCCAGCTACTCGGGAGGCTGAGCTAGGAGAATTGCTTGGACCCAGGAGGTGGAGGTAGCAGTGAGCTGGGACTGCGCCACTGCACTTCAGCCTGGCACCTGGCGACAGAGCAAGACTCTGTCTCAAAAAAAAAAAAAAATATGTGTGTGTGTGTGTGTGTGTGTGTGTGTGTGTAGAATAGCCAGTTGTGGTGGTACACGCCTGTAGTCCCAGCTATTCAGGAGGCTGAGTTAGGAGAATCGCTTGACCCTGGGAGGCAGAGGTTGCAGTGAGCCAAGATTTCACCACTGCACTCCAGCCTGGGCAACAGAGCAAGACGCTGTCTCAAAAAAAAAAATACAAAATCAAATGTCAAATACTGAAAGTTAGTTTTCTGCAGGTGAAATAATTGCTAAGAACACTTAAGAATTTCATAAAGCTATGGAATCTGAGAAAAGGAAATTTATGCTGTTTGAAATAGTTTAGAAAGTGAGCTGGTTACAACATAAATATTTTTTAAATTATAATTTGTATGATTTAAAAAATTGTTAAGTTCCATTAAAGAAAAATATGGTATACATAAATATTGAGATGTGAAAACTCACCACGTGTTGCTCATTTCGAAGGAGGGAGACTGCAAAGCAGTACGTAGGATGTTAATATGTTTTATTAGGAAAACATTTGGAAGGATATTCAGGGAAGTACTAGCATGGTTTTCTCTAAAATTTGTCATTTCTGATAATTTATATAGTTTTATTTTACATATCCAAATTTTCTGCAGATTTACATATCTGTGAAATATAAGGATGAAAGCTAGACTTACACAAATACAGCTTTCTCTGATAGAAATTTTCCTTTAGTGTTCTGTGGAACTTACATATGCATATGAATTTTATCTTTGCTTGTGAGAAGCAAGATAAAAAATACATATAGTGAGTTTTTATTGTGCGATTAACCTAGCATGCATGTTTCCGTGGTAATAACCCAAGACCTATATTGTACTTACAACTATACGTTAGAGTATCTTTCTGAAATATGTATATGATAGTAAGTAGTACAGCTCAGCACATAGTGATTCGTTAAATATTTCACAACTTTGTGCTTGACTGTGGATAAACATCACAGAGATTCTTCTACTTTACAGGAAATAGGTGCATTATCTGTATCAAGTCCTCCTTCAAACTATCAGAAAAGGTTCTGTAAATCTTTTTTTTTTTTTTTTTTTGGAGAGGGAGTCTCACTCTGTTGCCCAGTCTGGAGTACAGTGGCACAATCTCAGCTCACCACAACCTCCACCTTCTAGGTTCAAGCAATTCTCCTGCCTCAGCCTCCTGAGTAGCATGGATTACAGGCGTGTGCCACCACACCTGGATGATTTTTGTATTTTTAGTAGAGATGGGGTTTCACCATGTTGGCCAGACTGGTCTCAAACTCCTGATCTCAGGTGATCTGCCGACCTCGGCTTCTCAAAGTGCTGGGATTACAGGCATGAGCCATTGCGCCCAGCCAAGTTTCTGGAAATCTTTGTTGATTTTGCAACACCCACCAAAGAGATTTTAGCCTCATGCAGACATTTAGATTCACAAGACAGGCCATACTTGGTCCCAGTCTCCTCAGAAAGATAAGAGACAGGAGAAACAGCAGGGCAGTGTTAGGTGTTTCCTCTTCAGAGGAAGTCTTTGCAGCCATCCAGGGGCTTCTTGGTCCTCTGAGTGGTCACCCAGTTACAAGGAGGTAAGATTCTCACAGGTGGGTGTGAGATTCACCTTGGCTCGAATTCCCGTGCCCCACAGTGCCAGTATCTCCTTTAACCATCTCAGAGGCACAGCTTATTCTGGTCATGGCACCTAGAGCCACCACGATCAGGAAAGGGCAGAGAGAGATACTGCTCCCGCCTGAGGTCTGTAATTTGTTCGTCTTCCCAGTCCAGTGCAGTCTGCCAGTCAGTGGTCATTTTTCCCATAAGGAATGTTTCCTAGTAACACAACTGATGATACTCCTTTATCAAATTTCTTTTTTTTTAATTTTTAAAAATTATTTTTATTTTTATTTTATTTTTTCCTTTTCTACCACTATAGTAATGAGGACCTTTATCAAATTTGTAGAGGAACCAAGATAGAAAGTAAGCCCAGGTCTGATTTTTTCCTAACAAAGGAAAAAAGGATTTTTTTTAAACCCTTAACTTATAACTGGATTTAATTTTAAAAAGGTCAATAATGGTTTCTATGTGCATGGCAACATTTTGGGGCTATTATTCACAATACCATAAATAGCATACTAATTTGAAAGAAAATAATGATTTCTTTTATTCTTTACCCTCAGACAAAATTTGACAAACAGGGAAATGTTACATCTTTTGGTGAGTATCTGATTAGTATTCTAAATCATTTTTTTAAACACTTAGTGAGTGAATCTGATGGAAATCAAGAAATTGTAGTTTTTGAGTAGAATATTCTTTGCATATTCAGGTGTGTTGAAAGAGGTCCATCAGTCTTAATTGGAGCTGGCAATACTCATACTGTGTGTATTCTCCCAGAATTGTTTTCTTCTGGCAGGAGCCATGTTTCACTCTAACAGGCCATTGAAGGAATATTTGGGAGAGCAGAGGCTCTCCCTTCTGGGGTAGGGCTGGAGCCCAGAGACACACTCTTTCTCTCTTTTGTCTCTCTTCTTAGTATCCCTTTCACTGCCATCATTCATGCTCCTGAAGCATGTTTAAGACAGAGTCACATAATACTACTGACATTGCAGCGGGTGACAAAAGACGAACAGGGATAGGTCACTGCATGGCAGTCACAGGGAACTCTGCTGCTGATGGCTCTCTGTGGGCAGCTACTTTAAAGTGAGAGTCGGTATTACTTTACTGTGTGACTTGAAATCCGAGTTTCAGATCTCCCCTGAAAATGAATCAGTCTCAGGTAATAAATTCAGGTTTTCTCATTTTTATATTAGTCCAAGAACAAAGAAAATCAAGCTTATCTGTTCACATATATAAAATACTGAAGGTGGTGTTCTAGTGAGAAAAACTACAAACCGTAGTTGTGTACAGTTTATATTTAAGATCGATAACCTGTCTCTAGAACTGGAAATGTGTAGGTTCTCACGATGCAGAGTTGTGGTTTCTATATTGGTCTCAGGGGAGTGAGAAATTTATGAGGTATAGATAAGAAAATCATTAGTTTGACTATATTTAGCCCAAGTATGTTTTCTAGGTAAAAATGGATATTATAAAGATTTAATTGTAGTTTTTATTTCTGGTAGTAACCAATTATTATGTTGATGGTGGTGGGAGGACTGCTCTGATGGAAAAATGTAAGCCGCTTAATATATTGGTTTAGCCCTCTCTTTATTTCTTTTATAGAAAGGAAGAAAACTGAATTACACCAAGAGTTAGGTCTTCAAGCCAGAGATTTGAGATTCCAGCATGTAATGAGTATCACAACCAGAAACAACAGGATTATCATGAGAATGGAGGTAAAATATCTTATTTTCATCTGTGTTTCTCCAATACAATCTTATAAAAGTTACCTTCTAATTTCCTTGATCAGTATTTGGGTTAAAAGTAATTTTGGAATAAAAATAGCTACATGAAACAGGATATTTTATAAGCTTAATGTGCTATTATGAGTAGAACTCATTTTACCTGGTATATATCACACTGCTGTGTTTTAAGTTGGAAAAGTTCTGACTGGTGTTCATTCTCACTGTTGGAATTTAGTCTCCAATTCTGGAAACTGTAAGACAATCCTGATTTATAATAGATATATTTCCAATTATGTGCAGTTACATGTAATTATAGTATAACCTTAGCTACCAAAAATGTATTCTGGCTTTCCAAATAGCACAGGAAGAGACTTTAAATTTTATAGTCTTAATTTAATTTTTTTAAATGGAAAACTTCTGAACTCTACCAATTCAGAGCATGCCAAATATAATTTTACCTTCTTCAGTTAGTTAACATGGATATCAGTTAAGTTAGTGGGCTAATGTTTAGGTTCAAATATAGGTGACGAGACACAATAGTCAGTGCGATTGGCCCTGTAGTGGGCATGGGACTTTCTTTTCTTCAAAAAGTCTTTGATGGCAGATTTTTTTTCAGTTTTCTGGAATGAATCAAAATAACAAGAAATGGGCCAGTAGTAGCGGCATGTGCCCGTAGCCCCATCTGCTCAGCAGGCTGAAATGGGAGGGTTGCTTGAGACCAGGAGTTTGTGACCAGCCTGGGCAACATAGCAAGATCCCATCTGAATAAATAAATAATACTTTATCAAAAATGGAAGCAGTCTTCTCGCAAGTGATTTTCTCCAGAAATCTTCTTTACTCTTGGTATCAGTAGCTAGGATTCTTCAGTGTCTCTTTTGTGGAGAGAGACACAGGTATGTGAAAAAGCAAATTTAGCAGAATGATAATTATATAATGTAACTGGTGGTTATCTGGTGTTCACTGAAATCTTTCAACTTTTCTGTATAATAATTTGCATGAGGCCAGTGCATTGGCTCCCAGCACTTTGGGAGTCCGAGGCAGGTGGATCATTTGAGGTCAGGAGTTCAAGACCAGCCTGACCAACATGGTGAAACCCTGTCTCTACTAAAGAATAAAAAATTAGCCAGGCATGGTGGCAGGTGCCTATAATCCCAGCTACTGGTGAGGCTGAGGCAGGAGAATTGCTTGAACCCAGGAAACAGAGGTTGCAGTGAGCCGAGATCATGCCATTGCACTCCAGCCTGGGTGACAGAGCAAGACTTCATCTGAAAAAAAAAAAAAGTTTTCATGATAGAGTGCTGGAAAAATGTAAAAATAGAAAATTAATTTCTGTATCATGATAGAGTTGCTACCTTGATCTACTTTTAACATAAAAGATACCAGTTTTTTTAGGAAAAATTCTAATTTCATACTGTTCTGAATTAGAATAGTAAGGCTATATTTTCATCTTAATTTCAGATTTGGTTTATATGCTTCAGTGTTGTTTTAAAAAGGAAACTTCCATTTGAGCCAAACTAATTATGATTAAACTAAATCTTTTCTTTTTTCTTTCTTTTTTTTTAATGAGACCGAGTTTTGCTCTTGTTGCCCAGGCTGGAGTGCAATGGTGCAATCTTGGCTCACTGCAACCTCTGCCTCCGGGTTCAAGCAGTTCTCCTGCCTCAGCCTCCTGAGTAGCTGGGACCACAGGCATGCGCCACCACGCCCGGCTCTAAACTACATCTATTCTAAAAGTGTACTTAATACCTGACTTTTAGAAAGATCTTACCTTGTTCCCTTTATTTTCTGGTGATTACCTGAAATCTTAATACATATATAATTTATGTGAGTAATTCCACTTTTATTGAGAGTGAGTTATTGATATCAAGACATATATTTTTTAGGTTTCCTTTCTCTGAAAAAATACATTGGTTTATTTTTGAAAAACAGAATGAACACTCATTTGGTTTAGTCTTAATCCAAAATTAGTAAAGTATTAAACCGTATTTTATAAATGTTCTTTTTTCCTACAGCTCTACAACTTGCATATATATATATGTATATATATATATACACACACATATATATGTATATATAATGCATATATGTATATATATGCAGCGAATATAATATATATATGCAATATATATGCAATGTATATAATGTATATGCAATATATGCATCATGTATATATGCATAGATGTACACGTCTGTACATATATGTATACATATATGTGCAATATATACATTATATATGTTATGTACATATACATAATATACATACTTACATAATGTATATACATGCGTGTGTGTGTATACACTTACATATTTATATGTTTTGGGGTGTTTTTTTTTTAACAGCATTTGAAAGCTGTGATAACTCCAGAGTGTCTTCTGGTACTAGATTATCGTAATTTAAACTTAGAGCATTGGCTGTTCCGGGAACTCCCTTCACAGTTGTCTGGAGAGGGTCAGCTCGTTACGTACCCTTTACCTTTTGAGTTCAGAGCTATAGAGGCACTCCTGCAGTATTGGGTAAGTGTGTTTTTATTTAGCTTCTTGGGTTTATTCTGATTTTGAACTGTCATTGAGTGGGAAGACAAGTTGGTGGTATTGTTTCAACGGCAGGCCCCCTGACCACACCCTGCCCTGTCTCTAAGGACCCTGCATGGAGATAACACTTTATTCTTAAAGTTTATGATCCTATCAAATATCACTGAAGATTCTAGATATCCACAGTCTTCAGAGTCATGTTATGGCAATCAGTGAAGCACATTTCAAGTTTACTACCCTTTTATCCCTTGAGGGGTGATAATTCAAAATACTTAACATCCTGAATATGATACAAATTAACATAAATATTTAAAAAATTTAAGTGGATTCCATTTTGTTCTCTAAGACTATGTATATTAAAGAGGTGCATTACATGTGATAAATATTAAGTCATTCAAGTCATTTTTTGGTTTGTTTGTACAGTCGTTTGTGTGAGCCAGGTAAGTGATGCGTCTCCTTGAGACCTAGATTGACATGGGAATCACACACAGTTCTTCCAGTGACTCCTCCTTTAAGGGTCCTTAGATGTCTGACACTCCTGTCAGGCTCTGAACAAGGGTGGTTCTTTGCTTTCCTGACCCCACAAATCTTTCATTGTCTTTTCTTGCCCCTGTTAGGCAGTATGGTACTGTTCTGTAACTGGCTACATGCAAGAGTTGGTGCTGGGAGCATACTAACCAGAGTGGGAGGAGGAGAGGTGGGTTGAAAGGACATGAGGTAGATTGGGTTGGGTGAACCTGGTAAAGTTCTCTTTTGTCTGCCTTGCTCCAAAAGAATAGATGGTTACACTTCCTGCTCTGGTTAATGAGCACCAGCTAGCACCAGTCAGTGAGATGCTAAGTAGTGGGAGCCCAGTTACCAAGCAGGGGGAAAACAGAAGAGAGGAAGAAGATGTAAACAGTGGTTAGTGTTGGGCTGCACGGGCTGGGTAAACTCTCAGGAGCTCATGCACTTAGGAGAAAGGCAGGGGTCCTAAAGGGAGCAGATGGAGAAGGAGCAGGGCTGGGCTGTCATGGCTCTCCTGCCTAGAGACTGGCTGTGGGGAGAATAGAGAGGGAGCTCAGGTTGTCTGCTGGGATAAACTTTCTTCTGCCTTTAAATGGGGTCCCAGGAAGATTTCTTTATGAAACAACACTACATATAAGCAAGACCAGCCACCTCTCAAAAGGGATAAGTTTTTGAACAAAGGAAAGCTCCCCAAACCCACCTGAGGACCAAGACATGCCATGAGTAGACGTGCCTCACAAATACCCTCTCTGTGACCCTTAGCAGCCTCCCTAGCAATTTCCTTAGTCCACACCTTGCTGAGCAGAGGGTGTGGTATCTCTTAGATGGTAAAAAATGTGGTCTGCCTGTTTGGCTGTCCAGTCTATCCTCCCTCCCAAGGACTTCTTTACCCAAGCAGTTCCTCTGGAGAATCACAAAATAAACACGTCTGCAGAGGCACCGTGATTCTCGACTCGTTTTCAAATTTAAAAATCTGAGTTTCACAGTAATTGTGCTTCTGAGATAAAGACTGTATGCTATAATTTATGTCATTGGTTTTATCGCTTGATTCAGTTATGTATGCTGTTTGCCAACAGGTATGGAAGTGTTTCAGTATTTTAACAACTATATAGCAGGATTAGTGCATACCTGCTGCATATCAAACCATACTTGTATTAACCTAAATAGTATATTTTTTACTTTACCCTGTTAAGTTTATGTTTTAAAGTTTAGGTTTTTATTTTCAAAGAGCTCTGTAGGAACTTTGAACCATATTCTTTACAAAGATCACAAATATTACTAAAAGCTTGTGTTGTAATAACAGAATGGCAGATGTTATTTTAATCCCTTGTGACTTCATAATGATTGTCTATAGGAGGAAGACTCTTCTAAGAGTTAGCTCCTTGTCAACCAAATCTGTGCCTAATGATGACGTCACACATGGTTCCTGGAACCCAGAAGATCTAGTTTTTGAATCATCTTGAACAGGCATTCTAGAATTGACTTTGTTCTGAAATGTTGTCAACATTTCAAGCTTCTACAGATTTCTGTATTAAATCAGAGGATTCACTGATCCTGAATATTCTAAAAATATTGTTTTAATTCTTATGAAAGGTCATGTTGTTATCTAGATCAACACCCTTCAGGGGAAACTTAGCATTTTGCAGCCACTGATCCTTGAGACCCTGGACGCTTTGGTGGACCCCAAACATTCTTCTGTAGACAGAAGCAAACTGCATATTTTATTACAGAATGGCAAAAGGTAAATATGGCTGATGTACCAGATTGGGAGTTGGAGACCAATATCTTTAATTATTAACATCTTGTTTCATAACTATTTTTAAAGTTAGAAAGTAGCCTATGTGGGAAGTTGAGCTAAAAGGGGCACACAGTCTAATGCTGGTTGGAAAGCTACTTTGCATAAAATGTCATATAAGGCTCTTTTACGTGTGTGATCTCAGTTCATCGCCCATTCAGTGGTTGATACTGTCCTTATTTTGTAGATGAGAAAACTGAGGTTTGAGTAACTTTCCTAAACTTACATGGCTAGCAAATGGCATATCTAAATCCAAAATCAAAGTCCATGTTGTTCTTTTTCTTTAAAATCATAATGGATTCCAGAATTTAATAACATTTTATACGTATCATAAATTGAATAAACATGCTCTTGGGAGTTGTACTCCCGAAGTCCCTTCAAGAATTAACATTTAAAATTCCCAGATCAGTAGTTTCTTGCCCAAAAATGTTGGAGGGTCTTTATCAGTTAAGAGTAATTTGTCTGTTTTATCACTGCCATGTTAAGAATAAAATTAATTCCCAGACTGAAAATCTTAAATTCACAAGTGATTGTATGTTTCTGAGATAAATAATGTATGCTGAAATTTTATCAATTAATTTAGATTTGGTTTGGGTTTTTTGTGGAGTTTTTTGAGACAGGGTTTCACTCTGTTGCCCGGGCTGGAGTGCAGTAGTGCAGTCTCAGCTCACTGCAGCCTTGACCTGCCGGCCTGCAGCTATCCTCCTGCCTCTGCCACCCAAGTAGCTGGGACTGCAGGTGCACACCACCATGCCCAGCTAATCTTTAAAAATTTTTTTGTAGAGACAATATCTCACTATGTTGTCCAGGCTGGCCTCAAACTCCTGAGCTCCAGCAGTCCTCCTGCCTTGGCCTCCTAAAGTGTTAGGATTACAGGTGTGAGCCACCATGCCTGGTCAAATTGATTCTTAATTTGCCTGGTAAATACTCACCTTTTTTTTTTTTTTTTTAGTAGGTCATTGTTTAGCATGAATGTATAAGAGAATATACTTGGTAAGATACTCTAAAAATGCTGTTATGAAATGTTCTTAGAAGTTTATTCTGTTGATCATTTTTGGTATCTTACAGTCTATCAGAGTTAGAAACAGATATTAAAATTTTCAAAGAGTCAATTTTGGAGATCTTGGATGAGGAAGAGTTGCTAGAAGAGCTCTGTATATCAAAGTGGAGCGACCCACAAGTCTTGTAAGTATATAATCATACTTCATTTCCTTAGAGTAAATCTTTTGCCTTTTCTACTTCAAGGTGATTTTTCATACAGAATGTAACATTTTTCTGGACTAGAGAATATAGACGTTTCTCATCCCCAGTTTCACTTTTTCCCTGTGCAGTATCGTATCTAATTGAATTTAATGAGGATATATTGAGTGCATACTGCATACCCGACATTGCCGACGTGGTGAATATAAACACACAGTTACCTTTATATTCAAGGGACTGACCACCACATTGGCACACACATCTACTAAAATAAACCTAGGAAGTAGTGGGAGAGAAATTTACGTGGAGGAGGGAAAGGGGGGATAAATGCACGAGTAAACCCTTAACATGAATTATGTAAGTTCATTCTAATAAAAATGCTCATCTTATAAACCTTTTATGAAGTTAGAAATTCTTTATGCTTCTTACTTGTGCACACGCTGGCTAAATGTTTACCTTTGAATACCCAAATATTTTATTTTTTGTCTTTCTAGAGCAGTATCAGAAATTAATACATTTTTGTAATCCACAGTCTACAGCTTTTTTTTTTTTTTGAGACGGAGTTTCGCTCTTGTTACCCAGGCTGGAGTGCAATGGCGCCATCTTGGCTCACTGCAACCTCTGCCTCCTGGTTCAGGCAATTCTCCTGCCTCAGCCTCCTGAGTAGCTGGGATTACAGGCACGCACCACCATGCCCAGCTACTTTTTTGTATTTTTAGTAGCGACGGGGTTTCACCATGTTGACCAGGATGGTCTCGATCTCTTGACCTCATGATCTACCTGCCTCCCGCCTCGGCCTCCCAAAGTGCTGGGATTACAGGCATGAGCCACCACACCCGGCTACAGATTTTCTTAAAGCACTTTGAAAAATTGGTTATTTATGTTCTGATAAGGAAATATTAAGATAAAGGGGGCTATATAACATTTGATTGATAGTACCTAGGTATGGTAGCAGAAGCTCTTGTTTGCTTTGCATAGGCCAATCTGTCTCTAATGTGCTTGATGATACAAGAACCTTTTCAGAGTCCTTATTCCCCCTTATCCTTTTTGGTAGGGTAGGGGAGCAAAGTTACTATTGATGTCATTCAGAAACAGTTTTTTCATTTGAAATTATAGTATATACACACCTCAAAAGGAAATGGTCTTTACATTTTTAGTTGTGGATTTTGTTTTACTGTTAGTGGTGTTGGATTTGCACTAATTCATCTGCATTCACATATCTGGAGTGTTCTGTAACTGGCAGCATAAGAGTCTCTTGTATCGTGACCGTGTAATACAGTGACGCCAGCTAGCCTACATAAGGATGGAGCCTCTTTCCTCAACTTATCTGTAAAGTGTTTAGGATCAGCTGACATAGTTACTCACATATTGGCCACAATAATAGAAATGACACAGGCGAGCTTTTCCACTGGTAGCTGAATGCTATATACTAATTTAGGAAGTTGTTACTAAGTACATGATACACATGTTGGGGGCATGTTAATTATTTTCTCTTGATTGAAGCGAAAAGAGCAGTACTGGGATTGACCACGCAGAAGAGATGGAGTTGCTATTGGAAAACTACTACCGATTGGCTGACGATCTTTCCAATGCAGCTCGGGAGCTTAGGGTGCTCATTGATGACTCACAAAGCATTATCTTCATCAATCTGGACAGGTAAGAAAGTGTTATATAAAACAGTAAGTTTTTTTGTTGTTAGGTTTTTTTTGTTTGTTTGTTTTTTGAGATGGAGTTCTGCTCTTGTTGCCCAGGCTGGAGTGCAACGGCATGATCTTGGCTCACTGCAACCTCTGCCTCCTGGGTTCAAGCAGTTCTGCTGCCTCATCCTCCCGAGTGGCTGGGATTACAGGCATGCACCACCACGCCTGGCTAACTTTGTATTTTTAGTAGAGACCGGGTTTCTCCATTTTGGTCAGGCTTGTCTTAAACTCCCGACCTCAGGTCATCCACCCACCTTGGCCTCTTAAAGTGCTCGGATTACAGACATGAGCCACCACGCCTGGCCAATAGTAAATTTTTTTATATAAAATAATTATAGGATAACCATTTTGTGAGGAATTATGCCATTATTATCATTTATAACTACTACATTAAAGTCCTTTTTTTTTTGGATGTGTAGGTTTCATCCATGTGGTCTCTAATAGATTTGGTGAATGTGCTGTATATAGTTAGTGGGCCCTTCTAATCTCAATAGGTGTTCTCCTCTCCAGCCACCGTAACGTGATGATGAGGTTGAATCTACAGCTGACCATGGGAACGTTCTCACTTTCGCTCTTTGGACTAATGGGAGTTGCTTTTGGAATGAATTTGGAGTCTTCACTTGAAGAGGTGAGATTGTATTATTATTTCTAAAACTTGGGGGGTTTGGCCGGGCACGGTGGCTCATACCTCTAATCCCAGCACTTGGGGAGGCTGAGGTGGGTGGATCTCCTGAGGTCAGGAGTTTGAGACCAGCCCGGCCAACATGGTGAAACCCCATCTCTACTAAAAATACAAAACTCAGCCGGGCACAGTGGGGGGTGCCTGTAATCCCAGCTACTCAGGAGGTTGAGGCAGGAGAATCACTTGAACCTGGGAGGTGGAAGTTGCAGTGAGCCAAGATCTCGCCACTGCACTCCAGCCTGGAAGACAGAGTGAGACACTGTCTCAAAAAAAAAACCAAAAAACTGGGGGGTTTTTGAAGATTTTTTTAATGGATTTAAAAATATAAATAAAAAGTCTAACCTGTATACTACCATAGTGAAATAAAATATATACTGTAAGTTACAATTCAGGCAGTATTGTAGGACCCTGTTATAACCTAGATAAATACAGCCTAGATTACTTTGTTTCCCAAAACATATAATTACAAATGGGGAAGGTCAGATAAAACAGTGTCTCTGTGAAGCAGTGTTAGAGTTTTTATTTTTTAATTCTTGCATGTCTGGCAATGTACCAGGCAGATTGCATACTTTATTTGGCTCAATCATTGCAACTCTGAAAATAGATGTATTATCCCGACTTTGCAGATGAGAAGACTGAGGCTCGGAACGTTGAAGTAGCTTGCCCACATGCACAGAGCTAGAAAATAACAAAATTAGAACTCGAACCCAAAGACTTTACTTTTTACTGCTCGGCTGCTTTTCCATGTTAAGATAACAGCTCCGAGAGTTTTTCATTTCACTGTGGTTTGGTACAGTCATCCCTCGGTATCCAAGAAGAATTGGTTCCAGGATCCCCGCAGATACCAAAGTCTGTGGGTGTTCAAGTCTCTGAAACAAAATGACCCAGGAGAGTCAACCTTCCAAACCTGCAGATGCAGAAGCCACTGATGCAGAGGGCTGACTGTATTTTCAGAGAATATCCGATTGTAAGTTTTCTGGAAGTGAACCTCAATGTGCATCTGACACAGTCTGGTGCTGGATTCTGTGTCCTCATTAGTCTGCTCTCCATTGCCTACCCCACCTCTCATTAGGACCACTATACCCTTTTTAAAAGTGGTCTTTATAAGGTGTAAGCCTAATTATTATGATGCTCTTCTGCATACAACTATTCAGTGACTTGATTAGCCGTAGGATAAGAATATGACGCTCTTCTGCATACAACTATTCAGTGACTTGATTAGCCGTAGGATAAGAATCCTGGCCAGTGAGTGGGGCCTTTGCCGGTCTGCTGCAGCGACTTGTCCATGTCGCATGTCTACTCCTGCCACTAGCTGTCTGTGTCCTCCTCAGACGTGCTGCTTCCACTCCTCTCGCCTCAGATCCCCGCTTGGTTAATTCCTGCTTATCTTTCATGTCTCAAAGTAGGTGTCCCTTCACTGAATGCACCGACAACCTGGCCCAGCAAAGTTACTCCCTTTGTCGTATGTGCCCAAATAATCCTGCATGTCCATCTACTGCATTCCTTAAATCTGCATTTCATTGTTCAAAGTCTATAAAAGATCATGAGCTCCTTGAAGCAAAGACAATATTAGTCATTTTTAATATACCTTATTGTAAAATGTTAAAGAAAAAGAAAGAAATATTTTATTGCCTGTTACGTAGCAAGCACTGCTCTAGGGCCAGTTAGCAGTGAGTCTGTCCTTGTGTAGGTTACATAGTAGTGCAGGAGAGAGTTAGGAAACATGAAGTATGCTAAGTGCTCAGTGCCTCAGAGAAAAACAAAGCCAGAAAAGCAGATAGAGAAAGTTAGGCAGTGGGATGGGTGACGTTTTAGAGATACGGTGGTCAAGAAAGATGGTTCTAAGGGGGTAACATCCTGGTGGAGGCAGGAAGAATCTGCGGGAATGTTTGCTAAGTAGAGGGAACCGCAGATGTAAAGACGGAGGCAGGAACGATCTGAGCTGGTTCGTGAAACAGCAAGAAGGTTGGAATAATGAGAAGAGCATGAGTCAGGTGCAGTGGTGGGAAGTGAAGTCCCAAATACAGACAAGTATGGTCAGGTCAGTCATGTCAAGCGTGGTAGCGGTTTGGATTTTCAAGTGGGATAGGAAGCCACTGGAGGTTTGAACCCAAATCTGGATCATTGGAAAGTTCAGAAGCAAGCAGAATATCTTGTGCAACATAGTCCAACCACTGACATTCTCAAAAGATCTTACATCCAAAGAGCTTTACAGATTCCCTGAATGTGACTGTAGGACTTTGTGTACAAGCCCCTGTCTTTTTCCCAAATAACTTTAAAGAATCATGTTTATGTACATAGACTAAAAGGCAACTCCATTTTATACTTTGATGTTTTTCTCTCACTTAATTGCCTATTTTTCAAAAAAAATTTAAAAGGGAAGATTTTTCCACTTCCTTTCTTGTGGCTTTAGTATGTGCAATCCTAGGTACAGCACAGCCCATTTGTAATGAGGTACGACTGGTAGGTGGCAGTGAGCTAAGCATGCTCAGTAGTGAGCCGGACAAGATTCCGATTCGTGCCATATCAGAATTAACAACTACATATCTTTGTAGGTGTCCTGAAGAGTAGTTGAAACATTCATTAAATCCATGGATGTCAAATGTCTTTATTTCAATATAGTTAAAATTATTTAAAATGGTGAATCTGAGAAAAAAAAAATACTTTAAGATAATTTCAGACTTCTGGAAAAGTTCCAAGGATAGTCAAAGAATTCCCATATATTCCTAAACCAGATTCCAGACATCAATATTTTATCACATTTGCTTTATTATTTATTTGCTAGACACACTTTATTTTCTAAACTATTTAAAAATAAGAACAAATGTGATGTTCCTTTACTCCTAAATGTCTTAATATGTATTTACTAAAACATGGACATTCTTTTTTGTAACCACAGTGCAATTATCAAAATCAAGAATACTGAAGTATTTTCCAATCTACAGACCCTACTCGGATTTTACCATTTGTCTCAGTAGTGCTTTTTATCCCAAAGAAAATCTTGAAGCACATATTGCATATAGGGTTCGGGGCAATGGTTCACACCTATAATCCCAGCACTTTGGGAGGCTGAGGTGGGCGGATCACTTTAGGCCAGGAGTTCAAGACTAGCCTGACCAACATGGTGAACCCCCGTCTCTACTAAAAATATAAAAATTAGCTGGGCGTGGTGGCTCACACCTGTAATCCCAGCTACAGGGGAGGCTGAGACATGAGAATCGCTTGAATCTGGGAGATGGAGGTTGCAGTGAGCCAAGATTGTGCCACTGCACTCCAGCCTGGGGGAAGAGCGAGACTCCATCTCAACAAGAACGAGGCAGATTTCTGCTCAGTAAATGACATGCATTTCCATCAGTGATGGCTGATCAGCTGTGTAACAGGCTGAGAAAGTGAGCTCTCAATCACTGGAGCCAGCCAAGCCATGGATGATAACCAATAGCATATCTGTGACTGGGACTCCTTCCTTTTGAGAGATTAAATTATGTATTCTGTACATTAAACAGTGTGCTGCAAAAGTATTACCATTCTGAACATGATGGTGGGGAAGAATGCTTCTGCAGTCTGAGGTTCCCAGACTTTCTTGGCTCATGATGCCCGTGGTGTGTAAGTTTTTCCCAGTATCCCTAGGCAAACAGTGTCTTTTATGTTAGAATTCTTTTGTGTTTATTTCCCATGAAACTTTAAAATATTCTCAGGTGCTGTGGTGCCCTGGGCACTTGAGCTCACAGTTTAAGAACGGTGGCTGTAAGCAAAGACCTTAAATGGCGTGTCCTCCAGCATGATGATGGTTAAGGTTTGTATGCATGTATAGAAAGGTTGGAAAGAAACACAAAGGCAAAGCAGTACATTTGGCTTACAGAGGATGTAAAAATATTTAAAACCTTTTAAATCGTGATTTCCTCCTGATTTATTCTCTGGGTGCTACTAAGGCACTTGTTTCTTAGTTTTTTTTCTACAGGAAATAGCTGTACAAACAACATAAGGCTTTCAAACTCTGGGCCAGTAACAGTTCAGAGAATCTGATCTCTAAGGAGCCTAGCGGTTTGTGATTGAAATGAGCCGTGTGTTCTCTTTTAGGACCATAGAATTTTTTGGCTGATTACAGGAATTATGTTTATGGGAAGTGGCCTTATCTGGAGACGCCTGCTTTCATTCCTTGGACGACAGCTAGAAGCTCCGTTGCCTCCTACGGTATGAAGGACATGGTTGACGCAGTACTGTGGAAGGGTTATGGTCAGGGGCCCTAGCATCAGACCACCTGGGTTAAGTTGTCACAGGCACTCTGGCCCTTGCGAGTTACTTACTTTCTCAGTTCTCTTTCCGTTTCCCTATCTGTCAATTGAGTCAGTATTATGTGCTTCATAAGGTTATGGGGAGAATTAAGTGAGGTAATATGTATAAAGCACTTATTGGCACACTGCCTAACACAATAAATAAGTTAGAATTTGTTTAGAATTCTCTGATAAACATACATTTCAACAGATGTTAGTAATTCTGGTATAAGGTTTTGTCATAACAAAATCAAAATGTAGGAAACAATGTTCTCGTAAGAAGAGAAAATTCACCTGCATTTTCTTTGTACTTCAAGGTGACTCCACTGAAGACACTTGATACTGCTTTCGTCCTTTGTTCACTAAGTAGTTACATAGCATTTTACTAGTGGCTTTTATTTTAAAATGACACAAACTAAAATTAATATTTCTGCTTTATTTAGATGGCCTCTTTTTCTAAAAAGACTATTCTGGCAGATAGAAGCATGGAATTGAAAAACAGCCTCAGACTAGATGGACTCGGATCGGGAAGGAGCATCCTAACACACCGTTAGCAGCAGCCCTGTGGATACTCAAGCTCTTTATGGTAGCCACAGGAAACCTCTGGTACTCTTTTATTATTTTCTTGTACAGAGTCAGACACTTGAAAAAATTTATTTGAAGACAAAAATCTTTTGGCAGTCACAACAGCACAACTTGATTGCATTTCCAGAATTCTGAGTTAAAGAAACAAAGTATTTGCTTTGTGAAAGGCCAAAATTCTATTTCCTACAAACTTTAAATGCTGTTTTTATAGATTTGATATGCAGCAACACAAGGACAGTTGTGTAGATTTATACATAATTTATACCTATCAAGAAAAGTGCAATTTCTTGCTGAAAGAGGCCCAGGAACTTGGTAAGCCTATAGGTAGCTGTAGTTCTTCGTCAGCACAGGGAATTACGTTCATGTGAATTTCCTGATTCTCAGGTGACTAAAAGAACTAGCATTCTGTGTATTAACCTTAAACTCTGCAAGTTTGAGCTTTAAAAACCAGCATTTAACATCACCTTATTTTCCTGTACTTGCCACCCAGTTTTATTTAACGTGAATTAAAAAATAATTTAATTTCAGCACTGTAAGGATTCCTAATCAAGATTTCACTTTCTCAACCCGAGACTAGTTTTCTTTGCTCTCAGTAATTAGAGCCTCTGGAAGCAAAGTTGAAAGGAATTACTTCCATTCTGTTATTGTTCTGTAGCTACTGTGTCCATTTACTGATTTTCAGATACCACCCCTGCCCTGCCCCAAAAGGAAAAATGTTTATTGCCCTGTTTATATGCAGTGTTTTCTGGAGGTTAAGTACAGTCATGCACTAGAACATTAGTTAAGACTCCCCAAGTAGTATGCATGAAAGATTCTAGAGTGTCCAGAGCAGCACTTGCACTGCAAATGTAATAACAGAATAAATATACTAACCCTGATATTGAGGATGCATGATTACCCTAATGTGATATCACATGAGGAAGTTTAGGAGTCCATTTTTCAGGTGGTTTCGTGATAGGAGTAAGAATCTTACTCCAGTAGATGATTTGGAAGAAAAGAGATCAAGTACAAGTAAGGTTTCCCCACTCCTGTGTGTGGTCATGGGAAGCCACAAGAGGGCAGCTGGAGAACAGAATGGAACAGCCTGGGCTAGACTCGGAGCATGGAGCAGCCCCTGTTCACCATGCTGTAGGCCAGGAAGGCAAGTCATGGTGTGGCTGTTGGAATGTGAACATACAGCACTCTCTAGCGTTAGGACTCTTAGGATTTTTAAGATTACATTTGGTAAGACTTAGCTGTCACAGGGTACCCTTTTGGCACACCTCAGAGCACACTGCTGCTATTTTGGGTCTTATCACTGTAAAATAAGTGCTACCTAACCTGAAGAATTGGAATCCCAGAGGGCAACATTTGACTGACTAAGATTAGGTATACGATAGAATTTAGGTCATTTTTCCTTGCAGTTTGATGGAGTTCGTTTTTGAGCATGGGTAAAATAATTTTCTGATGAAACATGTCAATAAAAGGAAAAATAATGTAACTACCTCCTAAGTCTGATAAAGGGAAGTTGCTGGTAGTTTTCAGAATTCCTGAAGGTGGCTAAATCAAGTATGAGTTCAAAATATTAACTAGTTCCACTTTTGTGATTGCAGGATGCTTCTTAAAGGTCTCACAAATAAATCAGCTTATGCCAAAAATATATGAAGTTCCTTGGTTTTAAATTTTGAACTAAAATGGACTGAGTACAGTAAGTACTGTTTGAAAATAGGTACCAAACTCGGTTTTGTGAGTAAGCAATCATATTCCCTGTCGAACATGTCTGCTGTAAGGTGTGATGCTGTCTTTGGAAGGCTCTGAAACAGGTGGGCACAACAGGTGTCATTTGAGGATGCTATTAAGATTTTGTTCTTCATGAATATAGACGGATAGAGCAGCACTAACCAGTTTGGTGTTAAAAAGCTATTTATTTTGGTGAGTTATTCCAAGAGTTGTATACAGCTTTGTTTGTTTGGAATTGCAGTATTAAAGTTGCACTTTGGATTTAGGACTTCCTGTCATTACTTTAGTGACACCTACAGAGGTCATCTAATGGATGCTGCACAGAGTAGGGACTACAGGGACCCAAGTTTTGTCCCCATCACATCTTCAAATAATTGGGGTCTCTTAGGTCGGTGATACAAAGGCATAAAACAATCCTGATCTTCAAGCCTTGAAGAAAGTTGTTACATATACACAGATAGAAAATGCAAATATGTCATTGTCATCCAATATCTTGAAAAAAAGATAAATTTTAGTTAAATGGTTATAAAAGTTCAGGTTTCTGTTAATGAGAAATTACAACCTACAAGGTAAGGTTTTTACATTGTGGTTATTAAGCAGAATCAGTGCTTTGAACTATAGTTAATACCTAGTGGAATGAAAAGTTAATCTACGTTTCAGGATAATGTATTAGACTGCCATGTATTAATTTGTTCCTCTATGCCAGGTTTTTTATCTATTTGCCATGTAAGTTGACCTTTTACAGTAGGAGTATAATTTACATTGTTTTTGACAGTGGGGTTAGTATGGTTAAATGTCCTATAAACTTGAAGGATGCTTCCATTTTTGTGGGTCTTAGCCTCTACCTGGAGCTTGCTATTGGGTGTGTTCAGGCACTGAGAAAGAGAAATAATGAGTGAGGTAAATAACGATATTTAAACATAGGCCTTATCATTTAGTGAAGCATAAAAACACTGACACTTTAAATGCATCTGTCTAATGAAAAGATCCAGTACTGAGAAAAACATACCTTTACTCAAGTGTCAGATGTCATCAGAGTCTGCGCTACCAAACTGCTCAACTCATAAGTGATCTCTGGTCCCCTAAAAATAACCTCCTTTAATTAAAAGTAATTCTTCAGCTAGGTTTTGCTACCAATAATTGTACCTAAATGAAACCAAATGGTGCTTCCTTGTGCCTTTGCTGTGCCATAGGTTACTGTGCAGCTAGCAAATGTACCTCTAAGACAAATGAGGTCATCCCGGGAGTGACCCAGAAACGCTCTCTAGGGATGTGCCTGCTGCTCTTTTTGGTAACCTTCCAATCTTCAGCTGGACTCCTCTTCCTGTCCCCTCTTCACCAGTCTCTACTCTGCCTTGAGAGACGCGGAGAAGAGAAGGGCTCTTCCCACTTGTTATTTTTCTCTTGCTTTTAGTATCGTCTCACCAGCAGCAGAAGAAAGAGGTTCTTCCCAATTTAACACAAAATAAACTAGTTGCTGTTTACAGATAATGCCTGCTAATGTTACTGGTGAAACTGAAACCCTCCGACACATTCCTTTCCCTTTAAGTGTGCCACACTGCACTACTGGCAAAAGAAAGCCATCCTTTAAAAAACAGCCCAGGAACAAGTGATTCCAAGGCCTGGTTTCTCCTCCATCCCTTACATTGGCCTGGGGTTCAGGCCACATCTTATTCCTCTGGTTCTTTTGGCACAATTGGAATCTAATGTGACAAAGGCTTCCCGTGAGATGGCTTAAAACTAGCAGTGTCACTAGGCTCCTCTATAGAAACATTGGAGGGTACAGAAGGGTGATAAAGTCTTAGTTTTTGTATTTGTCCTTTGCTATATGAACACTGAAAAGGTATTAATCCTCATTAAGAAAGGATTATCGGCCGGGTGCAGTGGCTAACGCCTATAATCGCAGCACTTTGGGAGGTCGAGGTGGGCGGATCACCTGAGGTCAGGAGTTTGAGACTAGCCTGGCCAACATGGTGAAACCCCAACTCTACTAAAAATACAAAAATTAGCCAGGCGTGGTGGCGGGCTCCTGTAATCCCAGCTACTCGGGAGGCTGAGGCAGAACAATCATTTGAACCTGGGAGGTGGGGGTTGCAGTGATTGTGCAACTGCACTCCAGCAGCCTGGGCGACAGAGCAAGGCTATCTCAAAAAAAAAAAAAAGGCAGTGGGGGCTGTCATTCTTGGCAAACTAACAGGACATGGCAACAGAAAGCCAAATAGAGCATGTTCTTCCAAGTGGCAGCTAACCTGTAAGAACTTAGGAACACCAAGTAAATGACACTGGGGTCGAGTTGAGGGGGGAGGGTGGGAGGATGGGGAACAGCACCAAAGATAAACCTTCACACGTGCCCCTGAACCTAGAAGTTAAAAGGGACCAAGTCACACGTGACTTGGAAGGGGCGGTCATCCCTCAGCCCCATGCTCTTCTTGTTACTGTTTCTCCTCCCTCAGTTTTTGTTTTTTTGTGTACCGTGCTTTCCATTACACTGACTGGGAAGGTGCCAGCAATCCTATTTTTAAATTCAATTTTTTTCCCCCAACTTTTAAGTTCAGGGTACATGTGCAGGAAGTGCACGTTTATTACATACAGAAAGGTGTGGCATGGGGGTTTCCATGGTGTTAAGTACACATCTGTTACTTTTCCTGATCCTCTCCTCCCACCTTCCACCCTCACAGGCCCCAGTGTGTGCTGCTTCCCTCCATGTGTGCATGTGTTCTCATCTGGCTCCCACTTACAAGTGAGAACATGTGTATTTGGCTTTCTGTTCCTGCATCAGTTTATGAAGGATAATGGCCTGTAGCTCCATCCATGTCCCTGCAAGGGGCATGAACTTCTTTTTTTTAACAGCTGCACAATTCTTTCTTAAAGAAGGATGTTTTTAGGAGGAAGTGTGTACAGAGATGGTTCTAACAGATAACCAGAGGGAGCTTTCCAGGCACTGAAGACATTCAAGAGGAGGAAACAGGTCGTACAGCAGGTCTCACTACAGGCAGTAAGTTAGGAAAGAAGAAAGGCTCAGATGCAAAGGGGCGAGGTGGTAAACCGTGGAAGGGACATGCCTAAGCCGAGTGTCTGCTATTTCACACACTCCTGGCGCAGCCATACAGTTGTATCAGGTTGCTTTCCAGAGGGTGGGGCTGTTATTTTTAGGAGCCCCACGTCTATCAGGATCTACCATAGCTCCACTGGATGTGCCACTTTGTCCACCAAAATGCTCACCATGGATGTGATTCAGCATGAGAGGAGGGGGCAGAGTGGAGAGACGCAGTGACATCTTCAGTCTGAGCCAAGGCTATAGACATGAAGTGCCCCAGACAGTCGGGCTCCCAAAGAACTCCTTCCAGCAGCAACGACGACTTGGTTCTGGAAGAGACACAATACGGACAGAATTCAGGGCCATTCATAACATCTGTGGAGTTCCTACTGTGTAGTCCAGGCATCATGCCATACTAGAGAGAGAGAAAGATGAAGACACCGGCCGGTCCCCTGGCTGGAAGTCAGGCCACTTTCTGTTTGTTTACATACCGCTTTCTCACATCTGTAGGTTCTGAAACCCGCAGCAGAGGGCGCTCACCCCAATCCCTATTCTGGCACCGAAATCCTAAGGCAGAAGTATGGCGGCGCATGCTTAGTTCTGGTACAATGTAGAAAACATACCTTGAATAGTAAGGACTTCCCCAGAAGTTGTTGGCTTTGTCAAAGTACTGAGCGTACCTCCCACTCAACCTGCTGGTTAAAACATTTTAGGGGCCGGGCACCGTGGCTCACGCCTATAATCCCAACACTTTGGGAGGCCAAGGCGGGTGGATCACGAGGCCAAGAGATCTAGACCATCCTGGTCAACAAGGTGAAACCCCGTCTGTACTAAAAATACAAAAATTAGCTGCGCATGGTGGTGCGTGCCTGTAGTCCCAGCTACTCAGGAGGCTGAGGCAGGAGAATTGGCTGAACCTAGGAGGCAGAGGTTGCGGTGAGCCGAGATCGCACCATTGCACTCCAGCCTGGGTAATGAGCAAACTCTGTCACAAAAAAAAAGAAAAATTTTTAGGACCCATCATTCAGAATTGCCTTCAAAACCTACAAGTTTTTAAAACATTTTCTTCTTTTTTGAGACAGAGTCTCGCTTTGTCACCCAGACCAGAGTGCAGTGGCGCCATCTCAGCTCACTGCAACCTCTGCTCCCTAGGTTCAAGTGATTCTCTCATGTCTCAGTCTCTCGAGTAGCTGGGATTACATGCCTGTAATCTCAGCACTTTGGGAGGCCCAGGTAGGTGGATCACAAGGTCAGGAGATCAAGAATATCCTGGCCAACATGCTAAAACCCTGTCTCTAACTAAAAATACAAAAATTAGCTGGGCATGTTGGTGTGCGCCTGTAGTCCCAGCTACTCTGGAGGCTGAGGCAGGAGAATCGCTTGAACCCGGGAGGTGGAGGTTGCAGTGAGATTGCACCCCTGTACTTCAGCCTGGCAACAGAGTGAGACTCCGTCTCAAAAAAACAGAAAAAGAAAAATGAATCAAATGGTAATTTCTTCTCCCTCTTCCCTGATTTATAGAATTTCTCACTCACTAAATTTGCTAAATTTCGGCTTCTCTCTCTCTTGCCAGAGTCTAGTCCTCTTTCCAGATGCAGCTCCAGGCCCGTGACCTCTGCAGGCCCTTCCCTGACTCCACCAGCAGAGACTTCCACTGCAGTTGCTGGCTGACCTCCTTTGGCTGTTGGTCATCATATATTGACCTGGATGGTCTCATGGGTCCGTTGAATTTTCCCACCTAGACTCCAAGTGCCTGGGGCTGGGACCATGTCCCAGGTTTGTCTGTCTCACAGGTGCTTGATAGAACACTGCTCATCATACACTGAGTTACTGCTCTGTTGAGGCTTCTGATGGAAGGCGGCCCCATGAGAAGTTTCAGAAATACAGAGACAGTGACAGCACTACCTGAGATGCTGAATCCTGATTCTAGTTTGTTATGACCAACTTCATTACTGAATGCGCTTAGGCCATAGAAACATAACTTGTACCCAAATCTCAGCAAAAGGCCACTCTGATCATCCTCTGATTGTCAGTGCCCATTTTGGAAACATAACATCTGATTTACCTTTTTACCCAGAGAACTCAATGCCCCCAAGCTCAGGTATGTGCTGGAAAAGTAAAGTAATTTTAACACTAACCCAGATGAACAATAATTAGGAAGTTGCATTTTCAATGTTTTATAAAAAGTAATCAACTGACCAGGTGCGGTGGCTCATGCCTATAATCCCAGTACTTTGGGAGGTCAGGGCAGGTGGATCACCTGAGGTCAGGAGTTTGAGACCATCCTGACCAATATGGTGAAACCTGGTCTCTACTAAAAATGTAAAACTTAGTTGGGCGTGGTGGTGGGTACCTGTAGTCCCAGCTACTCAGGAGGCTGAGGCAGGAGAATCACCTGAACCCAGGAGGCGGAGGGTGCAGTGAGCCGAGATTGCACCATTGCACTCCAGCCTGGGCAAAAAGTGAAACTTCATCTCTGAAGAAAAAAAGGGGAATCAAATATAAATTACTTTTGGAAAATCTATATATACCACTACTTTCAATTGATTCAAGTTATAGTTAATATATGTATAGTTTTATAATACATGGGGGTTTTGATGTCTAATTTTTGAAATAAATAAAATTTTAAATATAAGCCAAGCTTGTGAGGCTTCCTGTGGTCAGATCTTTCGAGAATCTTCTTCTAAAATTATTAACCATCTTTTTGTTGTGTGGTTAATCCTACATTTTTAGACCGCCCTATAAATGGGTCACTTAAATTGTTGGCCTCTAGAGGGCAGTTTCACCACAATTTTTCTTGATTTCCTCCTTCTACCTTCCACACTGGTCAGCAGGAGCCTGGTTCACAGCACTTACCAAGTCTAATCTGTGAAGGCTTCCCTAGCCCTTCAACCCACTGTTAAGACTCATTCTTCATACTATTCATTAGCATTTAACCCTAGAGCAATAAAACTCTGCCTTTCCATGTATATAAATCTTATTTTCAAGAACAGGGACTTTGCCTTCTCTGTCTCTCAGAGCCTAGCACAGTTCTATACAGTGTCATAACCTAAAATAAATGGGTGGATGCAATCGGTGCTTTAGAGGTATATTTTAAGGTTAAACATTTTTTTGTTTTACTGGAGTGCAGTGGCGTGATGTGGCTCACTGCAGCCTCCACCTCCCGGGGTCAAGCGATTCTCCTGCCTTACCTTCCCGAGTAGCTGGGACTACAGGTGTGCACCACCACACCCAGCTATTTTTTGTATTTTTAGTAGAGATAAAGTAGATAAAACCTTAGTTTTATCATGTTAGCCATGCTGGCCTTGAACTCCTAACCTCCAGTGATCTACCTGCCTCAGCCTCCCAAAGTGCTGGGATTATATGTGTGAGCCACCATGCCCAGCCAAGCTTAAACGTTTTAAACCACCATATCGAAATTTAAAATGTGTATACTTTTTGATCTAGCAATCCCACTTTTAAGATTCTCACCTGTGGGATATTTGCTCAATTATAAAAAATAAATAGGTATAAGAATGCTCACTATGGAATTGCTTGAAATAGCCCCCAAAAAATGGGAGGGCCAAGACTTATGGATCAGTTGACCCCAGGAGTTCAAGACCAGCCTGGTCAACGTGGTGAAACCCTGTCAGAGCCAGACCTTGTCTAAAAAATGTGTGTGTGTGTGTGTGTGTGTGTGTGTCTGTGTGTATATCTCTAAAGTCATAGAAAAACTCTGGGCTCAGTGTGGTGGCACATGCCTGTAATCCCAGCACTTTGGAAGGCAGAGGCGGGCACCTCACTTAAGGCCAGGAAGGAGTTCGAGACCAGACTGGACAACAAGGCAAAACCCCTTCTCTACAAAAAATTTAAAAAAAAAAAAAAAAAAAAAAATTAGGCATGGTGGTGGACACCTGTAATCCCAGCTATTCAGGAGACTGAGGCTGGAAAATCGCTTGAACTGGGGAGGAGGAGGTTGCAGTGAGCCAAATTTGCATCACTACACTCCAGACTGGGCAACAGGGCAAGGTTCTATGTAAAAAAAAAAAAAAAAGGAAAAACTGAAAGTCTGGGAGAAAACAGCAAACTGTTAACAATGGTTATCCTCTAGGGCAAGGGCCAGCAAACAATTTTGGGGAACAGGCCAGATAATAAACACGCTAGGCTTTGTGGGCATCAGTCTCCATAGCAGCCAATGAGTTCTGTCACTGCAGTGTGACAGCAGCCATGGGCAGTCCACAGCAAAGGAGCCCACTGTGTTCCACTACAACGGCAATGGGCACGGACACATCAACAGCACTGAAACTTCACATGTCACCAAATACTCTGTTCTGATTTCTTTTCAGCCATCTCAACATGAGCTGATGTTTTCAGTTCATGGCTTTAGAAAACTAGGTGGCAGACGAGTTGACCCCGGTCCCTGCTGTAGAGGACAAAATAGGAAGAATAAAAGGGAAACTTTACTTTGGGAGGCCGAGGCGGGTGGATCACAAGGTCAAGAGATTGAGACCATCCTGGTCAACATGGTGAAACCCCGTCTCTACTAAAAATACAAAATTTAGGGCCGGGCGCGGTGGCTCACGCCTGTAATCTCAGCACTTTGGGAGGCCGAGGCGGGTGGATCACGAGGTCAAGAGATCGAGACCATCCTGGTCAACATGGTGAAACCCCGTCTCTACTAAAAATACAGAAAATTAGCTGGGCATGGTGGCACGTGCCTGTAGTCCCAGCTACTGAGGAGGCTGAGGCAGGAGAATTGCCTGAACCCAGAAGGCAGAGGTTGCCGTGAGCCGAGATCGCACCATTGCACTCCAGCCTGGGTAACAAGAGCGAAACTCTGTCTCAAAAAAAAAAAAAAAGGTGGGGGGGACTTTACACCAAGGATATGATGGGATTCTATGTGAATGTTGCTTTCTTTTTGTGTGTTCTTCTCCTTTTCAAATACAAATAAAATCTGAACTAAACCTGAAGGTGAGACCACCAAATCGCACCCTCTGCACTAACATAAACATCGTTGAAGTGCAGTCGTTGGGCTCACCTTTGCCTTGGACCTCACGGTGATCAGAGAGCTCCCGAACCTTGAGCTGGCCTGTGAAACACACTCCGTTAACACAGTGTAATACCTTAAAGCCAAAGGGCATTTTTTTGGGTAACTTTTCTTTCTTTAGTCCTTCAAGGGATACTTACTTCGGGAGAAATCAATACATATTGGGCCTGAAGGAAAAAAAAAATGAGAAGAGAGCCAACGTTACTACTGTTTGTGTGGCTTTTTAAAACCAATTTTCATTATACCCTTACACTCTCATTCCTGTATTTCATGTGTTTTGTTTTGGAGATGGAGCCTTGCTCCGTCACCCAGGCTGGAGTGCAGTGGCACAATCTCAGCTTACTGCAACCTCTGCCTCCCAGGTTCAAGCAAGTCTCCTGTCTCAGCCTCCTGAGTAGATGGAATTACAGGTGCGCACCAACACGCTGGCTATTTGTGTGTGTGTGTATGTGTAGTTTTAGTAGAGACGGGATTTCGCCATGTTGGCCAAGCTGGTCTTCAACTCCTGACCTCAGGTGAACCACCCACCTTGGCCTCCCAAAGTGCTGGGATTACAGGAGTGAGCCACCGCTCCTAGCCTCATTTCTACATTTCTTGAATAGCCTTACAATCTGTATGCCCTTTAACCTCAAAAATTCTACTTATAGAAATATAGGTCATAAAAATAACCAGATGTATGAAATGTTTATGTGACTATTCACCATATTATTTAAAAGAGTATTAGAAATGGCACAATTAATAATAGTTACTTAAATAATGGATCAACTATGGTTTATCTGTAGGTAAAACACTCATCAGCAAATAAATAATATAGAAGATTATCAGGTAACATAAGAAAATGTTCTTGGTATATTGTTAGGTTAAATAAAAAGTCAAGGCAGGGCATGGTGGCTCAGGCCTGTAACCGGTGGCTCGGCCCTTTGGGAGGCCGAGGCAGGTGGATCACTTGAGGTCAGGAGTTTGAGACCAGCATGGCCAACATGATGAAACACTGTCTCTACTAAAAAAGTACAGAAATTATCTGGGTGTGATGGTGTGTACCTGTAGTCCCAGCTACTCAGGAAGCTGAGGCAGGAGAATCACTTGAACCTGGGAGGTGGAGGTTTTAGTGAGCTGAAATCATGCCACTGCATTCCAGCCTGGATGGCAGAGCAAGACTCCATTCAAAAAAAAAATTGGCTGGGTGCGGTGGCTGAAGCCTGTAATCCCAGCACTTTGGGAGGCCGAGGCGGGTGGATCACGAGGTCAAGAGATCGAGACCATCCTGGTCAACATGGTGAAACCCCGTCTCTACTAAAAATACAAGAATTAGCTGGGCATGGTGGCACATGCCTGTAATCCCAGCTACTCAGGAGGCTGAGGCAGGAGAATTGCCTCAACCCAGGAGGCAGAGGTTGCGGTGAGCTGAGATGGTGCCATTGCACTCCAGCCTGAGTAACAAATGCGAAACTCCGTCTCAAAAAAAAAAAAAAAAATCAGGTTATAAAATTATGCATGAATTATACACAATAGGATCACAATTCTTAACCAAAATATCCACAGACATAGTGTAATACTTAAGAGCAGGCTTTACAATCAGATCCTGGTTCAAATCCCTGTTGTGCCACGTCCTTCCTGGCAGTGGAAACTTGAATAAACTTCCTCTCTGATTTTTAATTTTCTTGTTTTAAGACAGGGTCTCCCTATGTTGCCTAGGCTGGTCCTGAACTCCTGGGCTCAAGGGATCCTCCTACCTCAGCATCTCAGAGTGCTTAGGTGTGAGCCACCACATTCCCCTGAGATCTTTAATTTTTTTTAATCTGTAAAAGGGCATAATGTTAATTTTATAGCTTTTATATGGATTAAATGATACATAGTTCTTTGCATATCCATACTAAATGCACGGTAAGTGGTAGTAATTAAATTCACAGGGAAAATACTAGCAGGATCCACTCTAAAGGTAAACAGGTATTAGCTCTGCAGAGTGGAATTTTAGGTACATAATTTTTAACTATCTTCTTCGTACATTTTTGTATTTTCTAAAATTTTCATATTAAATTTTCACTAATTTTGCAATTTATTCTTGTTTTCATATTTTTCTCTCTCTTTTAGAGTTTTTATTAAAGCTTACAGCAGGATAATTTTGCAATTTAAAAAAAATATTTTAAAATAGGCCAGACACAATGGCTCATTCCTGTAATCCCAGCACTTTGGGTTGTAATCCCAGCCTGGCCAACATGGTGAAACCCTGTCTGTGATAAAAGTACGAGAAATTAGCCAGTCATGGTGGCATGTGCCTGTAGTCCCAGCTACTCAGGAGGCTGAGGCAGAAGAATGGCTTGAACCTGGGAGGTGGAGGTTGCAGAGAGCTGAGACCGCGCCACTGCACTCCACCCTGGGCAACAGAGCCAGACTCTGTCTAAAAAAAAAAAAAAAAAAAAAAAAAAAAAAGTCAAATAACAAATGTTTTAGGCCCAGGAAATGTATCTTAAGGAAACTCGCCCACCCACAAAAAGAATAAACAGAAATGAAACAAAAAGCAAAACAGATAAAGCTTTAATGCAGCTCCAGTGACTGGCCGGGCATGGTGGCTTATGCCTGTAATCCTAGCACTTTGGGAGGCCACGTGGAAGGATTGCTTAAGCCCAAGAGTTCAATACCGGCCTGAGCAACATAGTGAGGCCCCATCTCTGCACAAAATAAAAAGATCAGCCAGGTGTGGTGGCACATGTGTGTAGTCCTAGCTACTCAGGAGCCTCAGAGACAAGAGAATCACCTGAGCTCAGGAGTTAGAGGCTGTAGTGTGCCATGACTGCACCTCTGCACTCCTGCCTGGGCAGTGGAAGAGGACCCCGTCTCTATTTTAAAGAAAGAAACTCCAATGGCCATGGCCTGTTTCCTTTCTTCTGTGCTCTGTGCACCTAACCAAGCAGTGACAGGCTGTGACCAGGGACCTACACAGCACCAACTCTAGTGAGACTTTAGCTCTGAGGACAGACATTGCAGAACTGTAAGAACTACAGGCAGCTGCGGCCCACAAAATATGGGCAGGTAATGGTGTCCTAACCCCAGGACTTCTGAATTCAGGTAGGCATTTTATAATAGACATGAGTTAACAAGGCATCAGCAACTAATGATCCTTTCCCAATAAGGTATCAATTGTGGACAACACTTTACCTTTTCTTCTGGACATGGAGTTATCCACGATTTGCATTTGCCTGTCACGTCACCAAGGGTGGTCTCTTTGCCGTTATATACATAAACTCGGCCATCTTCTCCCCCAAGCAGTCCAGAGGTTACATCTGCTATCCTCAGGGGGGCTGCCATGATGATTTCATCTGTAAATAACAAAAGCCCACAGAATAAAGGGTCTGACCCGTCACCCTCTCCTTGTTCTGCTACTGGATCCTAACCCAACCTCATGCAAATAGTATTAGTGTCTCCTTTAGTCTGCCCTGAGTTCATCCTGGCAAAAGCCTGTTCCCTACTTCATGCATCAATAGCAATTACCACAGGTGATTCTCATCACCTTGAAGGAGTGCAACTCCCTCTCCCATCTCACCTGATTCAAGATCTATCTAAAGGTCCTTGGACCACTGGGCTGTCACTTATAAGGGCAGAGCCCGGATGATCCAATTAGGAGATCGGTCCGCTTGGGCAAAGGGACTCATTCCTTGGCAACAGGTCCTATTCCTGTCTTACCTAAGCCATCGTCATCCAGGTCACTCAAGTGCAGAACGCCACCGAATCGAGAGAAGCGGCGGTCTCCACTGAAGGTGCTGAGCAGAGGGGGCTGTGCGTCGGGTGTGAGCGCGTACATCCGAGTGGCTCCGCCTTGGTGCAGGGTCATGGTCAGGAATGCCATCTTAGACACGTCATCTGAAAGGAACCACAGTTCCTGCTGGCCTCACAAAAATAAAGGCATTACAGAACACAGAACAGCATCTCACTCTCAAGTGACACCGATCACACGGGATCGTACCGCACAGTCGGCTTCAGTGCTGGTCAATTCCAGCAGCCAGGGATGTACCACCAGCTTGGGCCCCACAGCACAAACACAAGAGGCGTTCAGTGATTTCCCTCCAGGCAGGTATTCCTGCTTCCAGTCTTATCCCCATCATACGGTTCCCACACACCCATCCTTTTATTTTCTCACGTCACACACTACCTAGGTCACCCCCATGACTCACACGTCCAAACACAAGTGGACTCGGGATGGAGCCCAAACTCTTCACAGGGCCTTACGGAATCTGACTCCCACTTGGGGACCTAGCACCACTAACTCTTCTACCTATGCTTCACTGTAAGCAGCTGAAACCACAGCCCATTGTCTTAAATGTGGGCCTTCGGACATGACGTGCTCTCTGCCTGGAATAGCAGCACACACCCTTCCTGCTGCCCTGCCCACATCCCTCTGCTGGCTACTCCTACCCATCCAGCAGAATTTGGCTCACGCATGCCCTCCTCTGGGAAGCCTTTCCTAACCTCCCTGGCCTACAGCAGAGGCGGCTTCCATGTGCTCCCATACGTAATAACAAGCCCAGTGGGACTTCAGCTCGGGGCACAATTGCCACCGAACTCCAAGAACCGCAGACAAGCTGGGGCCCACAAAACAGGCAGGCGATTGTGTCCTGACCTCAGGACCTCTGAGTTCACGCAAACATTTGATAGTGGACATGAGCTGTACCCAGTGCCTTCCCAATACCCTCAGCAGTGTAGCAGCGCTCTGCATTCACTTCTGTGTCTCCTGCCTCAGGTGAACATTCCATAAGCAATGGGGTCACGTCTCTGTCCATGGTACCTAGCATGGTGCTTGGTCCTGTACAAGTATGTAATACAGTGTTTTTTGACTTAATGAATTTTCAACAGACTCTAAGTTAGTTGTTGGAATTTCACTGTAAACTTTGTTATTTGGAACACAGCTTTGATTTCAGAAATATCAGTGTCACCTGTGGGTTGGTGTGGCTGGTGCCCTCTGAGAAGTTTGCCATATGCTGGCAAAGTGTCAACGCATGCATATGATCTCACATCAGTGTCCACTGAGTTGTGTGCAAAACTGAGCTAATTTGACTTTTTTTTGGACAAACTTCTGCCTTGTTTACAGGAAACAGTTCACTAGAAGCCACTGAGAGCTCAAAGCAGAGACAGCAATAAGTCAGAATAACAGCAAGAAAACAGTAGGAAATAAACTGTTGGTAGAAGCTCAGCAATCTGGAGCTTTCTGACATAAGGTAAACAACCTCACCTAACACAACACCTCCTAAGAGAACAATGTGCCAATCAAGTATGATAGTTAATATTCAGAGTGAAAGCCCAAAGTATCAAGGAAAACTGAAATGAGAGAAAATCTTCATTCCCTTTTTCATGCTTTTTAAAGGGACCATCAGCTCCCTGGAGCACCCAGGAAAACATTAATATACTTCCAGCTCTGTCTGCTCCCTGCCTCAGTTCTTCCACAGGCAGGAAGGTGCTTAAGGCTTCTCCCTCTAGCACTGTCACCCAGAGGGTGAACACTGGCCCCACTGCATGTGAGAGAATGTCACAGAAGTCACCCAAGTTCTAGCTTTCGGAGCAAGAATTAGAAATCCTGAATAGGGCTGCCCATTGAGACCGTGTTCTCTACTCCAACTATGTCAGCTCTTCAGAGGTATATATTTTGATATCCATCTGAATGACTCATGAGTCTACTTTGAAAATGATTTGAAATGCAGAAGGATAAGGATGAGTTGTAATTAGTCAATACTCCCAAGTCTCTAACATGCATCACGATCTGTTAAAGAAGAGAGCATAATTTAAAATAATTTCATCAAAGCATTTAATTCTTCAGAATTAAAACAGAAGAATATAGACACCTGGAAATTTCAGCCATTCAAAACACCTTACCTACTCAATCGTGCAAATTAAACAATGGATTATCATACACATTTAGACAACTAAGGAGAAAAAACTCAAGGCACTGCTGTAAGCATTTCTATATTATTTTAGTAATGAAAGTAATTCAAAGGAACTTTGGTTTTTAAAAAGGGCTACGTGCAGAGGGCTTTATGAATTCCCAAATTCTACACTGCTGCTATAACACAGAATTCCTTCCGTAATTAACCCTCTATCTACACTGCTGCTATAACACAGAATTCCTTCCGTAATTAACCCTCTATCTACACTGCTGCTGTAACACAGAATCCCTTCTGTAATTAACCCTCTATCTACACTGCTGCTGTAACACAGAATCCCTTCCGTAATTAACCCTCTATCCACACTGCTGCTATAACACAGAATTCCTTCTGTAATTAACCCTCTATCTACACTGCTACTGTAACACAATTCCTTCTGTAATTAACCCTCTATCTACACTGCTACTGTAACACAGAATTCCTTCCGTAATTAACCCTCTATCTACACTGCTGCTATAACACAGAATCCCTTCTGTAATTAACCCTCTATCTACACTGCTGCTATAACACAGAATTCCTTCCGTAATTAACCTTCTATCTACACTGCTGCTATAACACAGAATTCCTTCTGTAATTAACCCTCTATCTACACTGCTGCTATAACACAGAATTCCTTCCGTAATTAACCCTCTATCTACACTGCTGCTATAACACAGAATTCCTTCCGTAATTAACCCTCTATCTACACTGCTGCTATAACACAGAATTCCTTCTGTAATTAACCCTCTATCTACACTGCTACTATAACACAGAATTCCTTCTGTAATTAACCCTCTATCTACACTGCTGCTGTAACACAGAATCCCTTCTGTAATTAACCCTCTATCTACACTGCTGCTGTAACACAGAATTCCTTCTGTAATTAACCCTGTATCTACACTGCTGCTGTAACACAGAATTCCTTCTGTAATTAACCCTCTATCTACACTGCTGCTATAACACAGAATTCCTTCCGTAATTAACCCTCTATCTACACTGCTACTGTAACACAGAATCCCTTCCGTAATTAACCCTCTATCTACACTGCTGCTATAACACAGAATCCCTTCCGTAATTAACCCTCTATCTACACTGCTGCTATAACACAGAATCCCTTCTGTAATTAACCCTCTATCTACACTGCTGCTATAACACAGAATTCCTTCCGTAATTAACCTTCTATCTACACTGCTGCTATAACACAGAATTCCTTCTGTAATTAACCCTCTATCTACACTGCTGCTATAACACAGAATTCCTTCCGTAATTAACCCTCTATCTACACTGCTGCTATAACACAGAATTCCTTCCGTAATTAACCCTCTATCTACACTGCTGCTATAACACAGAATTCCTTCTGTAATTAACCCTCTATCTACACTGCTACTATAACACAGAATTCCTTCTGTAATTAACCCTCTATCTACACTGCTGCTGTAACACAGAATCCCTTCTGTAATTAACCCTCTATCTACACTGCTGCTGTAACACAGAATTCCTTCTGTAATTAACCCTGTATCTACACTGCTGCTGTAACACAGAATTCCTTCTGTAATTAACCCTCTATCTACACTGCTGCTATAACACAGAATTCCTTCCGTAATTAACCCTCTATCTACACTGCTACTGTAACACAGAATCCCTTCCGTAATTAACCCTCTATCTACACTGCTGCTATAACACAGAATCCCTTCCGTAATTAACCCTCTATCTACACTGCTGCTATAACACAGAATCCCTTCTGTAATTAACCCTCTATCTACACTGCTGCTATAACACAGAATCCCTTCTGTAATTAACCCTCTATCTACACTGCTGCTATAACACAGAATCCCTTCTGTAATTAACCCTCCATCCGCACTGCTGCTATAACACAGAATCCCTTCTGTAATTAACCCTCTATCTACACTGCTGCTGTAACACAGAATCCCTTCTGTAATTAACCCTCTATCCGCACTGCTGCTGTAACACAGAATTCCTTCTGTAATTAACCCTCTATCTACACTGCTGCTGTAACACAGAATCCCTTCTGTAATTAACCCTCCATCCACACTGCTACTATAACACAGAATCCCTTCTGTAATTAACCCTCTATCCACACTGCTGCTATAACACAGAATTCCTTCTGTAATTAACCCTCTATCCACACTGCTGCTATAACACAGAATTCCTTCTGTAATTAACCCTGTATCCACACTGCTGCTATAACACAGAATCCCTTCTGTAATTAACCCTCTATCTACACTGCTGCTGTAACACAGAATCCCTTCTGTAATTAACCCTGTATCCACACTGCTGCTATAACACAGAATCCCTTCTGTAATTAACCCTCTATCTACACTGCTGCTGTAACACAGAATCCCTTCTGTAATTAACCCTCTATCTGCACTGCTACTGTAACACAGAATCCCTTCTGTAATTAACCCTCTATCTACACTGCTGCTGTAACACAGAATCCCTTCTGTAATTAACCCTCTATCTACACTGCTGCTGTAACACAGAATCCCTTCTGTAATTAACCCTGTATCCACACTGCTGCTATAACACAGAATCCCTTCTGTAATTAACCCTCTATCTACACTGCTACTGTAACACAGAATCCCTTCTGTAATTAACCCTCTATCTACACTGCTACTGTAACACAGAATCCCTTCTGTAATTAACCCTCTATCCACACTGCTGCTATAACACAGAATTCCTTCTGTAATTAACCCTCTATCCACACTGCTGCTATAACACAGAATCCCTTCTGTAATTAACCCTCTATCTACACTGCTACTGTAACACAGAATCCCTTCTGTAATTAACCCTCCATCCACACTGCTGCTATAACACAGAATTCCTTCTGTAATTAACCCTCTATCTACACTGCTGCTATAACACAGAATTCCTTCTGTAATTAACCCTCTAGTTAAGGACCATTATCTTTTAGACTCTGTCGTCTTCATT